CAGAAATATTGTCATCTCTTTTAGTTGGTAGAGCTCCCGCAGCAATGTCACGGAAGTCCATCTATTTCATTTCAATATAAATTTCGTATTAAATTGTGAGCAATATGATAGCAAGTACTTACATCCATAATGGTTGAAATAATTTTTCGCTCATCATTGATTTCAGGCCCGCCCGCATTGGAGAAGGCAGCAGTCACTTTTTTGAGACCATCGTCCGTTATATGCCTAAATATGTATATGTAGGCCGAAATTTTTGTATTGATTCGTTTCAGTGAATGCATCCAAAACTCACCATCCTTGATTCAATAATTTTCTATTTAAATCCATTTTGCAGAAATTTTGCCAATCCCTGGACACAATTGACATTAACCAAAAATTCCTTTCAGCAAACGTCAAAATATAAGTTTGTTTAATAACTTATTCAGCAAATACTTGCAGCGAGAGCGTAAACACAAAATAGAGAGTTGAAAGCTCAGATAGTCAAGACTTAACTTAACTTATACCATGGTGCAATAAAATTTATTATTTTATTATTGATTATTTCTTTAATAGTTTTATTAAGGGTATTCATCAAACCTTATAAATGCATTGTAAACCGTATAAACTTATAATTGTGTAAACCTTATAAATGAACTGTCAAAATTTGTATGGAAACTCGTTTACACATTTCTGATAAATTTATCCAGCGATTTCACTGAATAAACTAGATAAACTGAAGACAATGCAACTCTGTCGCAACTCTAGCTATGTTTTCTTCGGCAATAATCGGGATCCGCATACAAATTTTGCACGCAAATTCAACAACGATATGATCCTGATAGAGATCTGGTTCAATTATTATCCCGTCTGTTTGTTTTGTTTCACTGATAATTCGCAAAGTTTGGTAGCCGTGATAAATGAATTCATACACAAACAGACATTCTGCCATTGTTTCTTATAACTTGCTTCAAATAAATAGCCTTTATGTTATATGTACATTTATTTAAATAGATATCTCGTAAATATAATTTTTTCCAAATTAGTGAGGTAGTTTCTATAATTTCTTTATCCCCGTGCTAGTAGTAT